AAGTAATCAAATTACGACAATAAAGTCATAAAATTACAACAATAAAGTCATAAAATTACAACAATAAAGTCATAAAATTACGAGGATAAAGTTGCAATAAGAATAGTCATAAAATTATGACCATAAAGTCATAAAATTGTGAGAATTGTCATAAAATTACGAGAATAAAATTGCAATAAGAATTGTCATAAAATAAGAACAACATTGCATTATGTAAATGTAATTTATTTATTTATTACCTTAAAATTTAGCAAAATCTTACAGATAAAGCAAAGTTTTTATCTTCTTTTTATTAATTCTAGGCCATCTTTCCCCCCCCCCCTTTTATTTAGTTTTGTAACTTTGTTTATCTTTTTTTTTATATAGTTTGTATGTGTGTATACTGTATTAATTTATTTAGAAACATAAGTGCAGTGGTACTAAAATATATTTTTAAGTATACACTCAAATTTACGTTTAGATTTTGAATTGAAATGTATCTCTAAAATTAGTTAAGTATGACGGAGTATTAGGCCCAGGATAGAGATTATTTTAATCTTGAGAATAAAGTCATAACATGAGAATAAAGGCATAAAATAACATGAATAAAGTCATAAAATTACGAGAATGAAATCATAAAATTACGAGGATAAAGTTGCAATAAGAATTGTCATAAAATAAGAACAACGTTGCATTATGTAAATGTAATTTATTTATTTATTACCTTCAAATTTTGCAAAATCTTACAGATAAAGCAAAGTTTTTATCTTCTTTTTATTACGGTAATTCTAGGCCATCTTTCCCCCACCTTTTATTTAGTATTGTTACTTTGTTTATCTTTTTTTTTATATAGTTTGTATGTGTGTATACTGTATTAATTTATTTAGAAACATAAGTGCAGTGGTAGTAAAATATATTTTTAAGTATACACTCAAATTAACATTTAGACTTTGAGTTGCATTTGATGTCATTTATTTGTAAAAATGACGAATTCCTCATTGATTTATTAGTTTCACTAGTGTTAGTAAGTTATTTTTTTAAATCATGATGTTGCGCTGATATTTTGACTGAGATTTTTCTGGTCTGATTGATTAGTTTGTGAACCAGTCTGTCTTTGCTGATTGAAGTTTCTTCTGTTTCTCCAGGGGTGAAGATAATCACCCAGCAGGTGCAGCCCAGTAAAATCCTGCCTAAACCTTCCTCTGTGGCTCTGTCCAGCAGCAGCTCTTCACCCATTATGGTAGTCAGCAGCAATGGCACCATCATGACCACCAAACTGGTCACCCAGCCCACAGGTCAGGGTCCAAACTTTTTACTCATGAAGCTGTTCATAGATCCTGGGTTTATCTGTGTAAAGAAAGTGAACCTGGAGTTGTATCTTCTTCCATTTTGTTATATTTTATATATGCAGCGACTCAAACTACATACACAAGACCCACAGTTAGTCCCAATATTGGTGCCAGAATATCAGCGTCCAGTGGAGGGACCACCTACGTCAAGACCACTAGTGGCAGCATCATCACCGTGGTCCCGAAGTCTCTGGCCACTTTGGGAGGGAAGATCATCAGCAGCAATATTGTGTCCGGTGTGTTTGCGTCCCGCTGCTTCGGCGTGTCCGTCGTCTCACACGCCGACTCGCAGCAAACGTTTTTTTTCTTCTGCCGTAGGAACAACCACGAAGATCACCACCATCCCCATGACGTCGAAGCCCAACGTGATAGTGGTGCAGAAAACTACAGGCAAAGGAGCCACCATCCAAGGACTGCCAGGCAAGAATGTGGTCACAACGCTGTTAAACGCTGGGGTGAGTCCAATGCCAATGAGCAAGGCAGCGCTTTACAAAGGATATGATTAAAAAATCATTAATGGACATTGTGCAAATCTTTTTGAAACTGTTTTGACTCATCTATGTATAAGCACTGATGTTTAATGTTTTAAGCTTTGTACAGTGCTTGTTACACATGTCCCAAAATAATGAAAAATAAGTAAGAGGTGTAGAGGCTTTAAAGGAATAGTACACAATAGTACACACATTAGCCTTCATTTTCTACTCACCCCCATGCTGAACAACACTCTGGAGTACTTTTTTGATATCTCAAATGCATCTGGAGATCTGGGAGGCTT